CTACAGGGATGTTCGATTCCCATCGCCCTACGCCCAGGACATGTAGTTCTGGGTGTCATGCAGGTAGTTTGTTGTTTTTTTTTTTTTTTTTCTACCTTTAGCCAGCAGCGGGCTCACCTGTCAGGTGGAAGCATTCAGATGGCAGTTACACACAGTGCAAGCCTCTATCCCCCCCCCGCTCCGCCTGCCCATCCGTGCACCGCGTTCCATTCAGTGGAGCACAGGGGAGACATGCAGGGCTTTTTAGACCCTGGATGCCTCAAGACTTGTTCCCTATGTGATGAAAAAAAGTTTAAAAGAAAAAAAATGTATTGTAAAAAATGAAAGTTACACCCAAGCACATCCCCCCCCCCCCCTCAAAATAAAAATTGATAAAGCACGTGCTGGGGCACCTACGCATGAAAACATTGATTGTGATACTCGTCACATATCAGCGCGCACACCAAAATGAGAGCAATAATTCTAGCCCCAAACCTCTAACGCTAAACTGGTGACCTATAAGGGGCTTTAAAAGTGTCGACCTATAGAAAATACAGGGTACTGAAGCTCGTCACCGTTTCATGAGCGCACGCAAGTTTTAAGGTTTGATAAGCTGGTTATCTCTGCGATCTCATCTTTTATATTTTACAAAAAAGGCAATTTATTGCTTTTTTTTTTTTTTTGTGCCCTAAAATTAACTTACTTGTATTGTTTACTGAAAGTTTGCGGTAATATCGTGTGACATAAAAAATTGGAACTACCACTGTTATTCTCTACAGTCTCTGCATTCGAAAAATATATCATGTTTGGGGGTTTTATGTAATCTGCAAGCCTCAAATGATTTTTTTTTAAACTTGTGTGAAAAAATGCAAAAACGGTTCTGGCAGCTAAAGGGATAAAGGATACACCCTGACACTCCCCTTTCCTGAGGAGCAGCCAATCAGTGCTCATTACACTGAAAGGTCTCTCCCCTCCCTGCTAGTCCCCAAGTGTGGTGCTGGAGAGAGGCGATACAGCGCAGTGTTAAAAATATTACGCCACAAAGCTCTTTTTTGTTTTTAAAAGCCCCATACATTACTGAAATCACCTCCAATTTAAACAGTTTTGGTTAAAATTATTTTTTTTTTATCTGGACAAGTAGATTGGGACACCGATTTAGTCCCTGGGCAAGTAGTTTTTCTAAAAAATTTCCACACCCCAGTACTAAATATTCCACGGTCAACTGTTAGTGGGATTATAACAAAGTGGAAGCAACTGGGAACAACAGCAACTCAGCCACACCAAGTGGTAGTCCACGTCACATGACAGAGCGGGGTCAGCACATGCTGAAGCGCACAGAAGTCGCCAACTGCCTGCAGAGTCAATAGGTAAAGACCTCCAAACTTCATGTGGCCTTCAGATTAGCACAACAGTACATAGAGAGCTTCATGGAATAGGTTTCCATGGCCGAGCAGCTGCATCCAAGTCTTACATCACCAAGTGCAATGCAAAACGTTGGATACAGTAGTGTAAAGCACGCCGCCACTGAACTCTAGAGCATTGGAGACGTGTTGTCTGGAGTGACCAATTACACTTCTCTGTCTGGCAATCCGATGGACGTGTCTGGGTTTGGCGGTTGCCTAAATGTGAAGATTGTGTTCAAGTTATCTTTGTTTTTATTTTTTTGTCTGTGGGGGTGGGGGAGCTGTTACATATTGGGTAATATATTAACAAGCTTATCTTTTCTTGTTTTGCAGGTTCAGTGTGAACCGTGAATAAAATATTTAGCAAAAATGTCAAGTAAGTGATCCTTTTTTCTTTTTTTTTTTTTTTTTTTTTTTTTTTTTTTCCTTTGTGAAACATGGTTGTATAGATTGTTGTACACTTTCAGAATGTGAGTGCAATGTCGGATTTCAGTTTACTGCTGGGAAAGTGTAAGATTTATGGGGTTTTTTTTGTTGTATAGGTTACCGATCTTTGCTTATTTTCTCTCTCAATAAGCTTGCACATAAATTAGCAATTAAAGAAGTTCAGTAAAGTCAGGTGCAGGAAAAACTTTAATTGCCTGGTCATACCGGGTGCAACTTGCCATGCGATGCGAGTTTCAAATCGCATGGCAAGTCGCACCCTATTGTGTGCAGTTAAAGCGGTTATATCGGTGTGATTCTGACTCGATTTTGAAAGTAGTGCAGGCACTCCTTCAGGTGCGACGTGCATAGACATCTGTGTCTTGCAAGCCGCACCTGAAGGCGGAATGTCATTTGACTTTGAAATCGTGCAACTTCACTGGAAGTCGCACAATTACAAAGTCGTATCAGTGTGACTGGGGACGAACACGATCATTCCAGAAAGTAAGCCGATACATAAAAAGCAAACTTGCTTGGTTTGGGCAGCTGTGTCGGTGATCAAACTTGGTTTTATCGGATGGGATGTTTGTAAATCTGGTGCGCTGTTCCCTTTCCCAGTGTTATTTCAGATAGTAGCCACTGTTCTACAATTAGAAACGACATGTATATTTAAATAGTGTGTGTGATCATTAACAATTAAATGCAAACAAACTCCACCTTTTGGCAACACATTGCACGTTACACCCATATTTAGGTAAAAGTAACGTAGCGATATACGAGTGATGGCATACAAGGGGTCCTCTCCCCCACAGGCGCTGCCACTTTTAAAATTGGTGAGGCTGTTCAGGACACTGCCTGCACAGCTGCATCATTCGTATACAGAGATCTTTGAATGCAGCAGATGGACTTCTCAGCATGACATGTCTGGTCAGGTCTAACTAGAACAAAGGATATTCAGCTCTGTTGCACTATGAGCTTGCAATCTTTTGCATATGGTTTGTCATTCTATGTAAAGTCTATTTGGGAAGTTCAGCATTTGAGTCTGTAGGATTGCATGGACTCAGGTTGCTTCTCATTTGTGCTGTTTTATTGGTACAGTATTGAGACATAGTGGGCGGGTTGAACTTTTCGCAGCCAATCATAGCCCAGGTATTGCCTTTACAAACTTAATAAAGCTGAGTGAACATTGTAGATTGTATAGATACAGTGTATATTGTAGTGGAAGCCGTAAACGGCAAGTTTTTGCTTTTTCAACCCACTGAATGAGAGAAGTTTTATTTCCCCCATCCATGCTAAACAATCTCCCTTGCAGGCTATTGTAATTCTGACAGCCATGGCTGCCTGAATACCCGAATGGTGATAGCATCTGAAGTCAAGGTTGAGGTGGTACCGACAGTGGGAATCGGCCAAAATTCAAGCCATGTATGGCCAAGCTAAAGGAGTGTTCTCAGTCAGGACTAAAACTGATCCCTGGACATTGTCTTTGCTTCCACTTCTACAGAAATTAAGCTGTTCATAGACTGGGCGAATGCATTCATTTTTCATCACATTTTAGGGTGTTAAGAATTGCTTTTTAATCTTTAAATGGAAGTTATAATTGTATTTGTTTTATTTGCTATTTTGATTTAAATTAAAAAAAATTTATGGCTATCATTTATTGTGTTATTTTTTATTAATAGAGCGGCCGTCATATGCTCCGCCCCCTGCCCCGGCACCCACTACAGTAAGTAAACTATTCTATAAACCATTAACTTTTAATACCAGCAAGCCTTGGAAGGATTGTTGTTAGGGCAGTCCTATAGGTCAGGTTGTAGTTTCTTTTTTTTTTTTTTTCTCCTCCTCAGTATGATGTTACATGGGTTTTGAAGTGGCTGTCTGTTTTCAACAATAAAAAGCTTTATTTGAAGTTATAGGGTTGTCATTGGATGTTTTATTTGTATGAAACAGCCATTCCCCCACTTCTCCAACAGATGTTGATTCCTAAACCCAGATAATGGATGTGCACTAATTTTAAACACATCAAAATGTGACTTAAAATTAGTTAATATCTTTATGGGCAGCCCCCCCCGCCCCCTCCCGGTTTATCAGCTTTGTATATGAAACAAATCTTCATGCTTGCTTTCCATATGATTACATGTTTGTTAGATGCGTGCTGTCATCCTGTGTGTTTGCGGTGCCCGTGTGCTTGCTTTTTCTGCAATGTAATAAACGGCATCTACAACAGCCCCAGCTTTTGGATTTTTTTTTTTTTTTTTTTTTTTAAGAATTTGCATTCTGTTTCTCATTTGGTAATTATCAATGTTCTTAACATTATTACCTATTAAAGATAAATGGCCATATTTGTAGGCTATAACAAAACACTACAGACTTTTACATGTTTACATCAACCTTCCATAGATTTGTTAAAAGGTTGCACTGTGGTGTGTACAGTGCTTAGTAAAGAACTCATCATGGAACCGAATGCCTACCTAAATTCTGCTTTCTATCAAATGATGTTAGGACTGTAATTGCACCTGCAGATACTGAAATACCAGATTTTGCTGTTGAGCTTTCACGCTTGGATACTGATGCCCTTTGACTACAGTGAATACCTGGTAAACCTCATTGTCAGAGGAATATAATCCTCACTATTTGAATTTTGGTGTATATCAAAACAGAAAAAAAACAGGCTGAATAGCCTATGTGCCCTAAACAATTGTAGGTTGCATTAGGTTTTGGAGTGTTCCCTGACTCCTCTAAAATGCCTTCCGGCTCCTAGCTTTGGTTTTATTAACTTGTGATTTTCTCCGTTTTAAATTTTCCTTCCATGGTGCATTTAATGTACAGAATAAAGATTCCCAACTCTTCAGTATATAGAGATATTCGATACATTGTATATGAAATCTCCCTTTTGCCAACTGGTAAATCTTGATTTGTGAACATTTCAGCTCGCTGCACAGATTTAAAAAATCTCAAATGATCAAATCTAGGAACTAAAATATGTATATTGTAATACCTCACCCCCGCCCCCCCCCCCCCACCAAAACGTCCATGTGCTCAGCTTCTAATAGACCAATTTTCACAGCTTCTTGAACACGCCATATGCAAACCATTTTCATTTTGTGAATTTTTTTTTTCTTTTTTTTAATATTTTATTTCCTTTGTTTGAAATCCATTTCTCATTCGTGTTTTTGTCTCATTTGTTTCCATCAGCAAATGCCCAGCACACCAGGGTTTGTGGGATACAATCCATACAGCCATCTTGCCTACAACAACTACAGGCTGGGAGGGAACCCAGGCAGCAACAGCAGGGTAACGGTAGGAGATTGTCATGATGTGTGACCTGAGGCGTTGCAGCACAGATGGAACTGGGAATTGTGCTTTAAACTGAAACCGGCCTCTTTGCAAAGCAGGGACTAACCAGGCAATCTGTGCAAAGGCATTGCCTGGCTAACTGTGGTATGAGACATGGTGCTGACTTTTCATGTTGGTTAATATGAATAAACAGGACTGTGCATATTGCAAATCACCATGTCCCATCATTGTCCCTATGGGTGGCTGGTTGAACTGTGCTTATGCAGAGACTCTTGAGGGTTTTTAAGAACTGCAATATAAATTGCAGCATACAAAAAAGAGCTACTAGTATTCATAATTGTAAAGGTATAGTTCCCAGACGCTGAAAAAAACTGAAATATATACACAGTTTAGGGGCTAAACAGCTGCTTACTGTACTCCAGTACAGTGCAGTTACTGACAGAAGTAGAATGGGAAGGAAAAGATCTTTGTCTTACAACACTAGGAGGACCCATGTGTGGCCCAGTATTGACAAGTGATGCAAGCTTGCAATAAAGGGCACCCTTGTGCAGTTGGTAGGTTTAAAGTACAGGTATCAAACAAGGCCCGCAGCCCGAATCCAGCCCTCCAGGCCATATCCAGCCCTTCAGGCCATTTCATGTGGCCCTTGCACCTCTCCTGCAGGTACCCCCTTGTCTCCACCCCCACCTTGTCTGTGCAGTCGGCAGCAGAATGGAGAATAGAACACCTGCCAAATCCTGCACCCCCTCATCTCTACCTCCACTGGTCTCAGCATTTAGCAGACTGGTAACTGACTCCACTCCTCCTCTGGTCCTCCTCCAGACCCTGCACTTTCTGCTTTCCAGCTCTTCCCCCAAACGGGGTGCACGGTGATGTTAGGATGTGCGATTCTTGACATCCGATGTAATGGGGGGGGGTGTGCTCTGGACATCTAGTTTTACAGATACAACTGGCCCTTTGAGGGCAACCAGAATGCTGATACGGCCTGCGATGGAATGGAATTGGACACCCCTGGTTTAAAGGGTTAGTTCACCTTTAGTAAAAAACTGGCTTTGTAGATAAGGGGTGTCTGTAGATAAAAACAAACTGCGCAGCTTTGACTAAAGTTGGATAATTCCTTGGCTATAGTTGTAGGTCTTTTCCCTCCTGAATCCTGACTGAAAAACTCCCACAGATGGCATCATCTCTGGAGGCAAGGACGTTGCTAAGACTCTCCGAGTGATTTAAACCCACTTGCATGCGCTCTCTTCCCTGTCGCAGGAGTTCAGCAATGCTGCGATGGAGGAAAAGGTGGACCACACATGGACTATGGCTTGATAGCTCACTCCTGTGATGATGGGGGGGTCAGAGCTGCATAGTTTGGTTTTATCTACAGGACACTTCTTACCTGCATTGTTGGTTTTAGGTAAAGGTGCACTAACCCTTTTAGCTCCTATCACATGTATGAGTTTACAGCAGTGTCTACGTGAATGGGCAAGGTTTTTGGTTTTTTTTTTTCGTTTTGTTTTTTCACATCAGGGATCCTTGCGCAAATTTCAAGGCCTTTACTGCACATTTTTCTAAAGAAACTAAAAATGATCCACAGTAGCAAAGTAAGTTGGGCTTCTTCTTTGATGTCTTGTGGGTTAGAAAGGTGTTCTCACACTTAATTGAACCTTTATAACAAAAAAACAAGTTAGTGCCCAAAAACACCAAGATGCTAAAAAAAGGACCTTCCATTGTTCTCTGCCTTCTATGGATAGCTGTTTGTTCTCCGCTCCACTGTATGTTGGAGCCTAGTCACTCTTGCTTGCTCCTGAGGTGGATTATGGGATTTGTAGCGTCCATAGAGCAGTCCATGTGATTAAATATAATGTGCCATTCTCTTTCCCAAAGAAGGGGGGGGTGAAGTTTGGGAGCTCACAGTGGACTGTTACAAGGATGAAGAAAAAAACACAGTAAAGAAAGATTTCATGAACAATAGATTACAGGGTTACTAAGTAGTGAATGTGCGTGGATTATGGATAAGGATATTTCGTGTCTCTATAATCCCGCTCTAGTTCTTTGAACCTTTGCATGTACTCAGTAATTTTGTATCAGTTTGCCCAAACACGTACTTTTTGCGTTCACAGTATCCACTTGCCTTTTCTCTCTGCTGTACTCCTCGAACTTCCACTGTTCTGCACAGGCGCCAAATGAAAAATCCCTAAGAGTCCAAAGTCTGTCTTGTTTATTTGAATACATCAAGCAGGGTGCAGGTCAGCCAATGCATTTTGGGGCCACACAGTACCCCTTTATCAGGGCTGGAGGATACATTTTAAAAAACATACATAAGAATGAAAACAAAGTCGAATTGCTGCTAAAAATACTCGTGCATAAAAGAAAAATGACTTATTAATTGAGGGGGGAAAGAGGATATCCTCAGAACCAGGGTGCAGTACAACTTGACTCTATAAAAAATAACAATAAAAGGAAGCCACTTTCACACTAAAAAAAACAAAAACAGATTAAACTGTATGAATACAAAGGTGATGGTCATTCAAAGATGCTACTGGCTTCCTTAAAGCGATTTTGTAAAGGTGTCATTTTACCGGAAAAAAAAAAAAACATGAACATGACTATACTTGCTGTGTGCAGTGGTTTTGCACAGAACAGCCTGGATCCTCCTCTGCTAGAGTCCCCTTCAGACTTTCCTGTCTCCCCCTGTCTGCCAGGTGCCCCCCACAGCAAGCAGCTTGCTATGGGGGCACCCACTGCTCCGTGTCCATTCACACACGGAGCCGCAGCTTGTTGCCCCCGTCCGCATTGGCTTGACTAGCCGTGATTGACAACAGCGGTAGCCAGTGGCTCCTGCTTGCTGTCTCAGCCAATGAGAAAGCAGAGACTCAGGACAGCCAAGGCTGTTACTCGCATCGCTAGATCGCAATGAGGCTCTGGTAAATATTGAGGGGGCTGGGGGAGCTGCTGCACACAGGTTTTTTACCTTCATGCATAGAATGCATGAGGGTTAAAAACCTTCAGCCTTTAAAAACCACTTGAAGTGACACAAAATAAGATGCTATCAAAGAACAATCACAAAGATCGCAGTGTAACAGCTAGTGTGTGGCTAGATGTCATCTGGCTTTGGCCAGGATACAGATGTTTCCACTGTTAGAAATGCAATTGGTTGCAGTGGGGCAAACACACACATACAGAATTACTAAAAAAAAAAAACAGTGGGTTGACCCATAAACCATCTATGCTAACAATGTATTGCACCCTGATTCTGAGAATATGCTTTCTTTTCATTCAATGGACATGTAATTTTTCCCCCATACAGGTGTATTTTTAGTGACAACTCTGCTTTATCTTTTTATGTGTTTTATTTAAACTTCCTGCTCCGGGTTTGGAAACCTGCTGATATGTTTGTCTCTAGTAGCACTTTTTTTTTTTTTTTTTTTTTTTTTTTTTTTTACACCATGCTTGTCTTCTAGTTTCTTCTTTACCCTCTTTCTGCATATGGGCAAGTTATGTTAAATTTTTGAGTTTATAGCTAAAGTTTTTCTACGTGGTTGTTTAGTCATTCCTTTTTAGTATAGATCTTATTTGTTCCATATATACTTATGGAAAGTGTAAGATCTTTGTGTTGCCACTAACATCCAATAGTCATCTTGTCATTTTCTAGAATATGTTCTACAATGAGGAAACAATTGTAGCTGTGAGCAGATAAAGCAACATCCACAGGAGAATTCGTGTATGGCTGCTGGCAAGAATCAGTAGATTTGTGCCGGTGGTTGTAAACGTAGTTGTAAGCACTATGTGCAAACTGCTGCAGGTGTCAGCAGAAGATATCAGATTTGTACTCTACAAATCAATGTCAGACCCTGCTGGAGTTCAGATGTGGCCGCTCATCGGAGCGATTAGTGGAAATTCCAACCCTGAACACAGCCAGTGTGCATCCAGGGTTGGCGTTTCTGCATAGTTTAGGTTGCATCCTTAGCAGAGACTGTCCTGCGTCCAAAGGTGGCCTTTAGCCATGTCTGATCGCCGCAATGTGTCCGCACATGAACTCACGTCTGAATGTAGCCCAACAAGATTATTCAACAACTGGTATAAAAGCTCAAAAAAATCCGATTTAGTAATCTTGCTTTTCATTGTACACTGCTCAAAAATATGAAAGGAACAGTTTGAAAACACATGAGATGTTAATGGGGAAAAATCTGTTGGATATCTATACCGATATGGACTGGTTAATGTGTTAGGAACATAAGGATGCCCCATCATTTGATGGAAATGACAATAATCAACCTACAGAGGACTGAATTCAAAGACTGAAAATCAAAGTGAAAAAATTATTCAGCAGGCTAGGCCATTTTGCTGAGATTTCATTGCAGCAACTTAAAATGATCCTCAGTAGTTTGTATGGCCTCCACGTGCTTGTATGCATGCCTGACAACGTCAGGGCATGCTCCTAATGGGACGACGGATGGTGTCCTGGGGGATTTCCTCCCAGGTCTGGACCAGGGCACCACTGAGCTCCTGGACAGTCTGAGGTGCAACCTGGCGGCATCGGATGGACCGAAAGATGATCTCCCAGAAGGTCAGGTGAGTGTGGCGGCCATTCAATGGTATAAATTCCTTCATCCTCCAGGAACTGTCTGCATACTTTCGCCACATGAGGCCAGGCATTGTTGTGCACCAGGAGGAACCCAGGGCCCACTGCTCCAGCGTAGGGTCTGACAATGGGTCCAAGGATTTCATCCCGATACCTAATGGCAGTCAGGGTGCCATTGTCTAGCCTGCAGAGGTCTGTGCGTCCCTCCATGGATATGCCTCCCCAGACCATCACTGACCCACCACCAAAACAGTCATGCTGAGCAGGCAGCAGAACGTTCTCCACACGCTTCTCCAGACCCTTTCATGTCTGTCACATGTGCTCAGGGTGAACCTGCTGTCAGGCCACCCTCATGAAGTCTGTTTCTGATTGTTTGGTCAGAGACATTCACACCAGTGGCCTGCTGGAGGTCATTTTGTAGGGCTCTGGCAGTGCTCATCCTGTTTCTCAATGCACAAAGGAGCAGATACCGGTCCTGCTGATGGGTTAAGGACCTTCTACGGCCCTGTCCAGCTCTCTTGGAGCAACTACCTGTCTCCCTAAACCTCCTCCATGCTCTTGAGACTGTGCTGGGAGACACAGCAAACCTTCTGGCAATGGCACGTATTGATGTGCCATCCTGGAGGAGTTGGACTGCCTGTGCAACCTCTGTAGGGTCCAGGTATGGCCTCATGCTACCAGTAGTGACACTGACCCTAGCCAAATGCAAAACTAGTGAAAAACAGAAAAGATGAGTAGGGAAAAAAATGTCAGTGGCCTCCACCTGTAAAACTATTCCTGTTCTGGGGGTTGTCTCATTGTTGCCCATCTAGTGCACCTGTTATTTCATTAACACCAAAGCAGTTGAAACTGATTAAGAACCCCCCTGCTACTTAACTGACCAGATCAATATCCCAGGAGTTTCATTGACTTGATGCTAGACTCTGATTAAAAAGTGTTCCTTTTTAAGGAACACTTTTATTTGTATTTGAGATATTTTACTGATTTAGCTATTGACTCCATAAATAGGCAGCAGGACTGGGAAAATGTCAGGAACCAGGGGGATCAGACTGACTGGTTGCTAAATTCTTTCTTTTCTTCCATTTATTTGAGCGTATCATTTACATGGCACCCTAATCAGCATTTCATTTAAAATCCAGAATTTGGACTTGGTGCTGCTCTATAAATGATGATCTGCGTATATGAGCTGTCCTTTTATGTTTTAGGGAGGGGCTTAAAGTAAACTTGTGCTTCCCTCCCCCCAAATTGCTCATTTTGATCATTTGATTTCCTCCTCTCAGCTGCCACTTGGGCTTATATGGGGGTTATTTTCCTATTTCCTAAAAGAGTAGTATGGTAGAGAATTTTGGTAATTGATAAAAATGTATACATATACCTACCTGCAGCAGCATTGGTCCAATGCTGTAAACTGTCCTCCGCTGGCTCTAAGCCAAAGAACTGAATGATCACATGATGGCTGATTGCTCAGTTCTTGGTCCACTCTGAGCAGAGAGTGGTGACTGTCAATCACTGCTTTGTGTTCTGCCTCTCCAGTGGTCACTGGAGCACCGGGGAGGTGAGCTTCTGGCTCAGGTCCTCAGCAGCGTGCTGAGACAGCTGCCTGTAAGCCATCTGTGTGGATCCTGACATTGTTGGGATCTCTCGAGTCTGGAGTAGCTCTGTGAGGTCAGCCGACAGCAGGCTTTTTCTGGGTCACAGGAGAGCATATAAGTAAGGCTGCTTTCACACTGATCGGGTTTTTTCTTCTATTTTTGTGGAAGAAAAACGCATGACCATTAAATCCTATGTAACTCTTCACACCGGTCAGTTGTGGGTCCGTTGCATTTTTCAAAGTCCTGGAGCCTGATTTTTTTGGTGCAGGACAAAAAAAGCACCAAAAACGCACCTCCTCTTTGAAATGAATGGAAAAAACATCAAATGCAACACCCACTGTTGCGTTTTTTGTTGTTTTTTTTTTTTTAAAGTCACATGTCGTCCTTTTTTTTTTTTTTTTTTTTTTTTCCCCAGGTACAAAGCACAACACCAGAAATGTGGCAAAGACGCATATGCGTTTTTATCATGTTTTTGCAATGGAGCAGTGTGAAAGTAGCCCAAGTGCTCACGAGAAGTATAGCCAAAGTGTGAGGGCAAACCAATAAGTTCATTTTAATTTTATTAAAGTGATAAAGTCTTGTTTGTTGTGTGTGGGTTTTTTTTTTTTTTTTTTTGTTATAGCTCTACTTACTTGCTCTGTGCAGTGGTTTTGCACAGAGCAGCCCTGATCCTCTTCTCGGATCCCCCGTTGGTGCTCCTGGCCCCTCCCACCTGTTGGGTACCCCTACAGCAAGCAGCTTGCTATGGGGGCACCTGAGCAGGCACACTCCCGAGCTGTAGCTGTACATGTCCATTCACACACAGAGCCACGTCTAGGCAGGAAAAGTCTGAGGAACTGATTGGCCAGTGAACTTGGCACCATTAGAGACATGAGGGGATGGCATATATAAGGTGGAAGTGATAAGCTGCATTTAGTATCAGTGAGCTACATTTTATATAATGAAGTAGTATGCAGTTTTTTGTAAGTCTCTAAACACTGCTAAATATGAACTTTAACTTTCATGTCTGCTTTTCTTTTTAGGCCTCATCTGGGATTACCATCCCAAAACCACCAAAGCCCCCGGATAAGCCACTGATGCCATACATGAGATACAGCAGAAAGGTACGTGATAGATTGGGGGAGGTGCTGCTGTCCGTCTCCACCTTTAATAGATTCCCAATCACCCCTGTATTTCTGTAGAATAAATCTAGAATAAAGATTGTACATAGACTAAACCTGTAGACCTTTTAGTAATTAAAACAAAAATCCTCTCCGCCACCCTTCATGTCTCTGAATAGGTCTGGGACCAAGTGAAGGCTTCCAACCCTGACCTTAAGTTGTGGGAGATTGGCAAGATCATTGGTGGGATGTGGCGTGACCTAACCGATGAGGAGAAGCAAGAGTACTTGAACGAATATGAAGCTGAAAAGGTACGAGGAATTAGTATTTAGATGAGAAAAAAAAATCCTTCTCAAATGTCCCAGCAGAGCCTCAGGTGCCACTCTGCAGGCTGGAGGTGTTGTATTGTGTAGAGTGTGAGGGTTGACACGGCTGTTCACTAGGTCCCAGGCTGGAAAACATCAGGATTAGGTGGATGATCCCGTTAAGATTTACCTCCAATGTTCATGGAAAGAAAGCCCTGCCCCTAGCTCAAATTTAGAGCAGTGTTCCGAATAATAGAATAAATATATGGAGTAGTAAGTCCCTTCAATAGCAATGGTCCTAATCACTTTGTTTCAGTGAAAACCTAGACAGTCCTAATCCTTGTACTGTCTGACAGAGGATCTCCTTCATACAGTGATGGGGTCTTCTCATGAGAAAACAGAAGTTGCTGTCTGAAGCTAAGAAAAATATAAAGTCAAAAATGTGCTTGAAATACTTTAATAAAATTGCTGAGGATCAGTTAGTTTTAGGTCATTGAGTCCATCTTGTCATTGGGTATTATTGCCTGTATGGTGCAAAGTAAGGCCCATTCACCCTATATGTGCTGGGCAACGCTGCCCCACGCATAGACTTGGCAGTTTGCTATGAGTCCTGTGAGTTCAGTGTGCTGCAGTTTGCACCATGAGTTGCCACTCGGAGCAGATGAACGAAATGGCATTTTTGTGACATTTCAATAAATTGTGCGGAAAAACAAACCGTAAAGCATCCGATGCGTCACAACACATCAGCACCACTTCCCCACCGTGCACAGCAGCGGCTATAGGTGTGAACTAGCCCTCGGATGTTGTGTTGGACATTGGCCACGCTGCTGCCTTTTGTCGCTCTGTATTCTTTTGCGTAAAATCGTTGCTATGGATCCGTACTTTGATGCCTTATGAATAATCGTTTTTACTGCCTTTTGTTTGGACCAAAGGCACATTAGGATCTACGAAGCACATTTCATTTAACAAAACATGATCAATTGGTTTAATGTATAAGTTTTAAGAGAGATTGCTGTAGTCCGTACTATATAGTAGCACACATACTGGGATGACCCTCACTGTTGAATCTGTGTAGCAGTATTAACAGGCACATGCATGGTATTCCAGTCTGGCCTGTGTTTAGTACATTGATTTCACCAGTTATTTCCCAGTGTGTTACATACGGTTTAGTAAAAGGGCTTCACAACAGGGAATGAAATATGTAGGAATTCTCAAAGCCTTCATGCACCTACTGTCCCTGCAGGGGCAGTCATAGTTTTAGTTCTATGTTCACTAGGTGTAGTGTGACCAGCTCAGATCTAGAGATTTCATTGAGCCTGAGCCGCCAGCGGAGGGCTCTGCAATTTTCACAGGCTTTTTCTAGGCTCATAGTTTTTTAGGCTTTAGTGGTCTCCAAATTTGAACCATTTTTTCTTCCTTAACTAAAGACCTGATAGAGGCTTCACTCCAACTCCAAGAGGTGGGTCCAAGTGTGTGCGTTCCGGTACGTCACATTGTAGGGCAGCTCTATGACTGAGAAACAGAAAAAAGGTGCAGGTGCGATTTTTAAAATCGCTTTGCACTAAAACGCATGGTACTGTGTTCTGGTGGGTGCAAACAAAGAATTGATGGCACTCGCATGTGTAAGCAAAAGGGCAGCACGTTTCTGTGTGGTGTAGGAAAATGCGTGATTTTGCACGTTCCTGCACGGCACCCAGTGTGTACCAGACTGCAGCATAGATGGGGCACCTAGTTTTCATTCTATTATAAGAGAAGTCAGTAGTTGCATTAGATAGATTTTATCAATGGAGCTCCTATGTTGGATTCTGGGAGCCAGTTTGTAAAATTAGGTTTGCACACCTTTGTTGTAAATAGGGCTTTGAGTTCTGTGTGTAAGGCGATGCACAAACGTAGGGGGTGTCTGTATAATGCCTAATGCTTTCTTCCAAGTTCGGTCTACTTGGCTCTGGTCACTTCCCCAATGATTCCACGCCACAGCCCAATGAAGTCCCTTTAGGCAGACTATATCCCGAAGCTGTCAGTCCTCACAATGTAGTTCCTCACACTTGACAGGCTGACCTCAGTACATGACTGACATATGCTACCCAGGCAGACAATGGATCTCGGTAAACGTCCGCTGTTCTCCTATGGTTTAGATGTCTGGCAGGATACGATTGTGTACGAAGGGAAAATTGTTTCCTGATCCTTAATTCCTCTTTATAAACTGGCTATCCGAACAGGCACCTCTGGAACAAACATGTTACTTCTCTGTTTTTCTGTACACACTGTATAATGGAAGCAATTATGTGAATGTTGTGAGTGGCCCTTCCTCTATAAACTGTATTCTAGATTTATTTTGCCTTCAGAGACATCTGTGCATTCTGTAATGTTCATGCATGAAGCTTGTGTTGTTGCTGTGATGTATTTCATATCTCTGGCTGTTCTTTTTGGTTTATAATTGAAGCTCTGCACCACAGGAACTAGAAATGACAAATGTACTTACAAGTGTTTATCTTACTGGAGAGTTTGGGCTCTCGGGGGGGATGGGAACAAGCTCTGCATTATTCAGAAATGGAGGCCTTGGCAAAATCTACTTTTGTGGTTATGATAAATGCTGAGGTGTTGTGTTTTTTTTTTTTTTTTTTTTTTTTATTGGTAAAAAATGCACTGGCCACTTCCACAAGTTTCTAAAAACAGACTGCTCTGACAATTTTGTGTAATGGTGGCTGCTGGCAAGTAGACTCTACTAACTTCAATATCAAATGCTTTCAGTGCTGTTGCAGTTTGACAATTTTGTAGTCATGCAACACTATAGCCATATGAAATTTTTAGCGTTTTTTTTCACACAAATACAGCTTTCTTTTGGTGGTATTTAATCACCACTGGGATTTTTATTTATTGCTAAATAAAGAAAAAAAACGTGTTTTTTTTGTTTTTCTTTTTTTGGGGTTTTTTTTTGTGTGTTTTTTTTTTTCAAAAATTTTCAGTATTTTTAAATTTTTGTTATAACATTTGGCAAATTAAACAATGGTTCTTCATAAATGTAGGTCAAAATGTATACAGCTACATTTCTTTGGTGAAAATAACCCAAATCTGTGTATATGATTTAGACTGTAGGAAAGTTTTATAGTCTACAAACTTCTATCTGAAAATCTGTCAGTCCTGCTGTACTCACAGCCAAAAATGCGTGTGTGTGTGTGTGTGTGTGTGTATATATATATATGTATATGTATGTATGTATGAATTGTTTTTTAAAAACCTTTTTTACTTTACTGTCACCAGTGCAGTACAGCATCATCTGATAACTGGTGTGTTGGTAATCACTAGTGACAGTATGGGGAAAATCATTTTTAAAACATTTTTTTCTTTTTCGCATGGTACAAACAGGCTGTGATTGGCCCATTCTGTACCATGTGATCACTGTTGCATATCTCAGAGCTCATTACAATAGTACACAATGAAAGGCATTAATTAAACTTTCATTGTGTACAATTGTCATGTGATTGGCTGCAGGGATCACTTGGTACCAGAAACGGGCTGGTACAGTAATCTGTCATTGGATGTGTCCGGTGCACACAGCAGGTGACCGATCTCACTGTAGCATTAAATAACGGCCTTCCAGGATAATAGGGCTCCTGCCCAGTCACATTGCATTAGGCCGGCAGGAAGGGGTTTAATGCCTTTCATTAGTTCTCCATCAAAATTCCCAGTCCTGCAAAAACTGCCACAGCCATTACAAAGCCATATAATGTCATACAACCCATTGTAGAGAAGATAGCAGAAAAAATGCAGCTGAAAGAACAAAACCTTTGTGTCTTAGCTACTTCCACAACAGTTTTAAGGCTCATTTGGAAATTGATGGAAGGGGGGCAGTAAAACCCAGCGTTTGAGCCATGCTTTTATTGCCCCCAATCACTGCACCTTTAGCTGCAGAGACAGCGCCCGGGGTTGTACATGTGCCACTGCAGGAATTATACTCCTTGTTGCTTTTAATGAGCACTACGTTGTGCAAGCATGAGGGTCAAGGGGTTAAAGCAGATAAGGTGATACAATGTTTCCCCGAGCCTGTCAAATGCCCTCTGCTGAGAGTACCACCACTAATGTGAGCGAGCTCTTACAGTCTACTGGTGGTTCATTCCTCCAGTGCCCACACAGCTGCCAAACCGGCTGATCTCCAACATACAAAGTGCTAAAATGACTTGTAAAGGACTAGTATAAAAGGTTGCATTGCTCACTCACTAGGCTTCCATGATTATTCCCATTTACCACTTTGTTAGCTGTGTGCCAGTAACATGTCAGCTCAGCTAAAAATCACATTGGTTCCAAGCCAAAAAAAGGATGGGAATATGTTCTACCCTCTGCTGTTTTTTGGTCAGACATCTCTCCCCCCCCCCCCTCAGAAGCTTGCAGTCTAATATCTGTAGTATAATCATACAAAGCATGTACACTCACAGGAGGCCTAGGGTGGTCAAAAGCCAATCTGCTAAGTTTTTGGATCATGGGAGGTCAGAAGCTTGGAGCAGCCAGAGGGATGGATCATCCGGTATAAATGGCACAACTTTGGCACAATTACTTTTCAGTGTGGGATGGTTTGTGTGGTTCTACTTTTGATATAAAAGGTAAGTCACAGCCTTGTGGTTGAGGTGTTAAAGCTGAAGTTTAGTATGCCAGGTTAGTGATTTGTAAAGCTTGAAACTTTTTTTTTTTCATAAAAAAATACACATTATACATACCTACAGTATGTAATGGTTTTGCACAGAGCAGCCGATCTCCTCCTCTCAGGTGCCCTACTGACATTTCTGGCTCCTTACCCCCCTGCCCTTTTTTTGCAGGCTGTCAAAATTTTGAATCTTCTCAAATTGATACCGCTGACACAAGCCCAGATAGCTGATGGATTTATTTTATTTTTTCTTCTATATATATTTAGCTCATGTTATGATGGGCAGATGAGATCGATAGACAGATGTTATGTACACAATTTTTAAGTGGGGGAAAAAAAATATCTGTGCTTGAAGCTGGGCATTTCAGATGAATGCAAATCCTCCTTATCCCAATTTCAAATAGTGTCCAGTTGTATCGGCACCCTTTATTCCATTCAGATAGGCATTCATTACATCCTAGAGAGTGCTAGGTGTAAAAGTCCTTGTTCGAACAGCATGGCACATTACTGTGACTTCTGGTTCTGTTCACATACGCAAACCTCAAGATGTATCTTCATTCTAGAAAAACAGTAGATGTCACCGAGAAGGTAATCTCAAAGAGCATACATTTTAAAAACACACAAGTCGCCTTTTTAGTTCTCAATGTGGACAGAGTGTAATGCACAAACAAAATGTAGACCCCAATGGAAAAAACAGTACTTTTTCCTTGAATGATCATGTAGGTTGGAATCAAGGTCAGGTTCATACTTCTTGTGTGAGATATTAATTGTGGCCATTTGTGTGATTTCCTGCAGATAGAGTACAATGAGTCAATGAAAACCTACCACAACTCACCTGCTTATCTCGCCTACATCAATGCCAAAAGCAGAGCCGAAGCTGCTCTAGAGGAAGAAAGCCGCCAGCGCCAGTCCCGCATGGACAAAGGAGAGCCTTATATGAGCATTCAGCCAGCAGAGGATCCTGATGGTGAGTTAAACATAATATTGCCTCTTGAACAATGACCAAAAATGTATTATAATGTGACTTACAAGTCCTTTCTGAAACAGAAAACTAGAGCAGCCACTACTTTTGAGGGCTGGTAAGCTGAAATCCGTTACATTTTTAAATTATCTTTTTTTTTTTTTTTTTTTTAATTAGAATGTCTGAAGGAACCTAGATTTGTAAACAGCCATCTGATCCTTTGTTAACTTCCTGCACAGCTGCTGTAGGCAAAGTGACGTGCCCATATGTCGCTGCCTACTTCGGGTACGCACATGCAGGGCTGCTGTTAGACATCATGGGGCCCCATACAGCCTACCTGATGGGGGGGCCCCCTTTGACCCCGCCCATGACCAAACCCTGGCCCCTCCACAAAACAAAATGCAGCTTTGTATTCAAGTGATCTATAATATAGAATAAGTATATAAATATCAAGGTCCTTAAATATGAAAAATATTTCGGCATGAAATGAATGTGAGGAGATACAATATATACATGAAAGTCCTGTATTCAGACCAAGTATGAATCAAATATATTATGTCATACTTATGATTTTGGTGCTGTGGATTTTTGATTCATACTTGTTGATTCCAGTACAGGGCTTTCATGTATATATTGAATCTCTTCACATTAATTTCGGGCTGTAATATTTTTCACATTTAGGGACCTTGATATTTATATGCTTATCCTATACAAATTATTATAATAGCATTACACTTCTTTTTTTGTACAAGTGTAATCAGGGCCGGCAGCCACCCTAGGGCGCTGGAAATTCGGATTTCTATAATGCCTGTCTTCAGTCCCCCCCCCAGGAGGCAAACTAAAACTTCCATGCTGCTCCCAGTAGGAGAGAGGGCACAGCATGGAAGTTTTAGTTGGCCTGCATAAGGCTGCTGCCAGAGCAAGGACAGAACAGTAGGCAGGGCAGTCTGCATGTCCCGCTGTCAGAGCGGATCTTCCAGAATGCAAAGGAGGGTGGAGTGGTGAGCAGATCCCAGGTGAGTGCAGGGATCAGTCGGGGCCCCTGTCAGGAATGGTGATATGCGCTCAGCTCTGTGGGGTGGGTGTGGCCAGGGGGTGCTAGTAGAGGACCCCATGGAGAAGGAAGAAGAGGAGGTCAGGGTGGAGGAGCCTTCCCCCTGCTCTTTGCTGTAGCTGCCACCGGAAATCTTCACCTGTCTACCTGGGAAACGGCTACCCTGCTGGCACCAGATCCTTTATATTGACACCATCTCGAGAAGCTTCTGCAGGATAGGTGAGATCTGAGAGGGTTTGTCATTCCCAAGCTGTGTGTGTGATCAAAGTGACCCTACCCCTCTCCTGTCCTGCTGCCCCCCACATGTCACATTGCAGCAGCACAGGAGGGGGGCAGTGGGACTGTGAAGACAAAGGTGCCTGAGTGTAAATTAGCCTCTCCCTGTGTGTTCTCATCAGCATTACAGTAATCACCCAGTACAGCAGGAGCTCTGTCATGGCTGTCAGTGTCACATGGCTGTTGGGTGCTGACTTTATGGCTGAACTGTGTCACAATCCAACCTGCAATACATAGTATAGCCAGACGTTAAAGTCAGCACCCAACAGCCATGTGACAGTGACAGAGCCATGACAGAGCTCCTGCTGCACTGTGTGATTACTGTAATGCTGATGAGAACACACAGGGAGGATCCTCTCCAGATCCGACTGTCACTGTGTTCAACCCCCTCCAAGATTAGTTGTCCTGCTAAGCCTGCCACAGTTCTGCCGTCCGATGATCCCCTCAGCCGGAGCCCACCCTCTTCTCAGCTGGTAGTGAGGAAGACATAACTTTGCCAGCAGCAGAGACTGTGAGTCGGCTTTTAACCAGCATATGCAGCACTGGATGTTGTGTGAATCTGCTTGTGCCGAAAAAGAAAAAAAGTCCCTCTATCTTAGTGTCCTGGGCCCCTCTGGATGAATTGATGCCCCCCCCCCGCCCTGGTAGTTTACTACATGGAAGCCACATGCACACATGTACTGGATTATGAGGTTTGAAGCTACTGCTGGCCGGGGCCCCCTGTTATAGTAAGGCCCGGGGGTACCCCCTTATCAGCAGCCCTGCACACATGACTGTACACAGCCAGAGCCTGTCAGCAAGTCCTGGCCAATGATTCACGGCTGGGACTTGCTGATTGGCTGTGTACAGTCAGCCTAGAGCTTTGTGTTGACAACCAACACCGAGCTTTACAGAGATATCAATGTTTCTCATCCCTGGAGAAACCTGGAGAGCTATTAGTACACTTTACACACATTATGCATAGTTAGGCACTTGTCTAACCCCTTGATCAATGACAGTGTATAGTATGTCAGTGGCAGTGTGTGCTGCATTCAAAGTGGGGGCAGAAGAGAAGTGTATACAGTGATGGGGACCCTGTATACAGTGATGGGGAGCCCTGTATACAGTGATGGGGAGCCCTGTATACAGTGATGGGGAGCCCTGTATACAGTGATGGGGAGCCGTGTATTATAGTGAGGGGAGCCGTGTATTATAGTGAGGGGAGCCGTGTATTATAGTGAGGGGAGCCGTGTATTATAGTGAGGGGAGCCGTGTATTATAGTGAGGGAGCAGTGTATACAGACCGGCTCCCTTGCTGGTGCTGTCATCATGTCAAATGTAAATGCTTTATTCTTCATTTTGTAGCACGGAGAAGGAGCTGCCATTCGGAGCTGCTAGTGAAGTAAACCAAGGAGAGGGGTCACCCATTGTTTACTTCTTTGGCAGGGGCTTAACGACCGCTCCTTTTCAGCGCTAAAAAATAAGGAAAAACCAAAAAGCAGGTAAATACATTTACAGCCAGCAATGGGTAATGCTAAACTGATGACCTGTGGGGGCTTTTAAAGCATCACCTGTGGAAAATATAGGGTATTGAAGTTTTTTCAGTTTCATGGGTACACACAATTTTAATGCTTGACATGTTTGGTATCTATTTACTTTTATATTTTGCCAAAAAAATGGGTAAGTTGTGTGCCCTACATTTGTACCTCAAATTTTGCCTTTTTGAAGCCATTGGGCCAATATTATGTGACAAAAAATTGGAACTACCACAGATTTATTCTCTAGGGTGTCTGCTTTCAGAAAATATTATGTTTGGGGGTTTTAACTACCGTATTTTTCGCTCCATAAGACGCACCTGACCATAAGACGCACCTAGGTTTGAGAGATGAAAAACAAGAAAAAAAAAAATATTCTGAACCAATGGACTGCAGACAGTACAGGGGATGACCAGAGACTGCGGACATGGTACAGGAGATGACCAGAGACTGCGGACATAGTACAGGAGATGACCAGAGACTGCAGACATAGTACAGGAGATGACCAGAGACTGCGGACATAGTACAGGAGATGACCAGAGACTGCGGACATAGTACAGGGGATGACCAGAGACTGCGGACACAGTGCAGGGGGATGACCAGAGACTGCGGACACAGTGCAGGAGATGACCAGAGACTGCGGACACAGTGCAGGGGATGACCAGAGACTGCGGACACAGTGCAGGGGATGACCAGAGACTGCGGACACAGTACAGGACAGGGATGACCAAGAGACTGCGGACACAGTGCAGGAGATGACCAAGACCAGAGACTGCGGACACAGTGCAGGAGATGACCAAGACTGACGGACACAGTGCAGGAGATGACAAGAGACTGCGGACACAGTGCAGGAGATGACCAGAGACTGCGGACACAGTGCAGGAGATGACCAGAGACTGCGGACACAGTGCAGGAGATGACCAGAGACTGCGGACACAGTGCAGGGGATGACCAGAGACTGCGGACACAGTGCAGGAGGGATGACCAGAGACTGCGGACACAGTGCAGGGGATGACCAGAGACTGCGGACACAGTACAGGGGATGACCAGAGACTGCGGACACAGTGCAGGAGAGACCAAGAGACTGCGGACACAGTGCAGGAGATGACCAAGAGACTGCGGACACAGTGCAGGAGATGACCAAGAGACTGCGGACACAGTGCAGGAGATGACCAAGAGACTGCGGACACAGTGCAGGAGATGACCAAGAGACTGCGGACACAGTGCAGGAGATGACCAAGAGACTGCGGACACAGTGCAGGAGATGACCAAGAGACTGCGGACACAGTGCAGGAGATGACCAGAGACTGCGGACACAGTGCAGGAGATGACCAAGACTGCGGACACAGTGCAGGAGATGACCAGAGACTGCGGACACAGTGCAGGAGATGACCAGAGACTGCGGACACAGTGCAGGAGATGACCAAGAGACTGCGGACACAGTGCAGGAGATGACCAGAGACTGCGGACACAGTGCAGGAGATGACCAGAGACTGCGGACACAGTGCAGGAGATGACCAGAGACTGCGGACACAGTGCAGGAGATGACCAGAGACTGCGGACACAGTGCAGGAGATGACCAGAGACTGCGGACACAGTGCAGGAGATGACCAGAGACTGCGGACACAGTGCAGGAGATGACCAGAGACTGCGGACACAGTGCAGGAGATGACCAGAGACTGCGGACACAGTGCAGGAGATGACCAGAGACTGCGGACACAGTGCAGGAGATGACCAGAGACTGCGGACACAGTGCAGGAGATGACCAGAGACTGCGGACACAGTGCAGGGATGACCAGAGACTGCGGACACAGTGCAGGAGATGACCAGAGACTGCGGACACAGTGCAGGAGATGACCAGAGACTGCGGAGACAGTGCAGGAGATGACCAGAGACTGCGGGGGACAGTGCAGGAGATGACCAGAGACTGCGGGGACAGTGCAGGAGATGACCAGAGACTGCGGGGACAGTGCAGGAGATGACCAGAGACTGCGGGGACAGTGCAGGAGATGACCAGAGACTGCGGGGACAGTGCAGGAGATGACCAGAGACTGCGGGGACAGTGCAGGAGATGACCAGAGACTGCGGGGACAGTGCAGGGGATGACCAGAGACTGCGGGGACAGTGCAGGGATGACCAGAGACTGCGGGGACAGTGCAGGAGATGACCAGAGACTGCGGGGACAGTGCAGGGATGACCAGAGACTGCGGGGACAGTGCAGGAGATGACCAGAGACTGCGGGGACAGTGCAGGGATGACCAGAGACTGCGGGGACAGTGCAGGAGATGACCAGAGACTGCGGGGACAGTGCAGGGAGATGACCAGAGACTGCGGGGGGGGGACAGTGCAGGGGATGACCAGAGACTGCGGGGACAGTGCAGGGGATGACCAGAGACTGCGGGGACAGTGCAGGGGATGACCAGAGACTGCGGACACAGTGCAGGGAATGACCAGAGACTGCTGACCTTTGGGGAGGGAGGGGGAGTGGGTACCTGAATTTGACAAGTACCCCTGCTCCCACTTCCGCGGAGTTGCCTTCCCTCTTCTTCCCGGGCCGGCTTCTGTGACAGCCGGGTGCCCGCTGCACTTTGAGAATGGCCTGGCGCCTTCTGGGACCTTTCATGTGTGTCCCAGAAGACACCGGACCATTCACAAAGCGCAGCGGACACCCGGCTGTCACAGAAGCCAGCGCGGGAAGACTGTGCAGCGCTGGAGCGAGGAACAGGTAAGGCCCTGCAGGAGAGAACAGCTGAGCGGCCGGCCCGGTATTCTGACATGGTGGCCGCAAAAATACCGGACCGGCCGCTTTATATTCGCTCCATAAGACGCACTGACATTTTCCCCCTTTTTTGGGGGGAAAAAAGTGCGTCTTATGGAGCGAAAAATACGATAATTTTCAGGCCTAAAATGATTTTTTTTTTTTTTTATCATGTAAACCAAAACTGTTAAAACATTGAAAAATGGCTCTGGTACTCAAGTGGTTAAGTGGATATAAAAGACTGATGTAAATCTTTTTTTTTTTTTTTTTTCTCCCCCTTGAAAAAAACCATGACTGAACTGGTGAAACAAACGGAACGCCCATGTGAGACGACCCTGAGCCCTGGCTCACACTGCATGTGACTTTGAAATTGCGCTATTTCAAGTCAATGCAATTTGCAATGAAATTGGAAAAAGTAGTGCAGGAATGGTTTTAAGACCGCGCCATAGAAATATTATTTGCTACCTCAGGTGTGATTTGTAAACCATATGTCGCACTTTTAAGTTGCACCAGTGTGAACTAGGGCTAAGAGACCCATGCTTTTTTTAAGATTTTATTAATTCAGGAATTTTCAAAGGACTCCTACAGCCGGTTGACAGAACAAGAAATATATAATAAAATATATGTGCTCATAAATGAGTACACCCTTTTTGAAAAGCAAGATTTTATTCAATATCTCAATGAATACAACCATTTCCAAAATTGACAAAACAGAGTTTTATACATTTATTTAGCTCATTACATGAAAGTAAGGTTAATAATAGAACTTGGATTACAAAATGTTCAGTGTTATAATAGTAATAAGGAGTGCACGTTTTCTTTTTTTCTTTTTTTTGCAGGTAAAAAAAAAATGTGCATTTATTATTTTTGTCCAAAGGAGCCTGGGAAGCTTTGCACCAGCGATCAGTAGATGGCTGATGCCATGCAGGTCTCCTGCAGACCTGTCAGAATATCTGCTTGCCGTACGGGATATATGGGTAAACCGCTATACTGACAGGAAGTTTCAATGAACTACCACGGAGCTCCACAGTGCTGTGATAGTTCATTGAAAACTACAAACCCACAGCCGCTAAGGCTGCCGAGACTTGCAGTTCATTCATTCACAGAAGTCTGTGAATGGATGATGCGGATGTGTGGGCGGAGCCCCCGCATGGCCGCGTTGTTTTCAAATCTGACAGTACGGGGAGACCTCTCCCCTTAATGTCAGAGGGAGGCACTGATCAGGTGGGTGGCACTGATCATCAGTGCCGATCTGTCCTCTGACAATTGCCGGTTATCGGCAGTACTTTCCTCATGCTGTGACAGGACAGTGTGAGCAAAGTGCAGCCGATAACTGGCAACTGTATTTACACGGTGATATGTTGTGTCATTAGACACGGCTGATCACGTGGTAAAAGGCCACTGTGATTGGCCTTTTACGTGATCAGCTGTGTCAATCACAGAGATCGCCATGTGTGTGACGCTGGGGTGGGGGGGGGTTTATGGGATAATGTCCTATGATGCCCTCCCAGAACTGGACAACCGTGCTGTAGCCGCCGCCATTCAGCTATAGCGTGGTTGCCAAGTGGTTAAGGAAGATCTCACCAGGAGAACACGGGTAACAAAAACTAACTTTGTGGAAGTGGGGAAAAAAAATGAAGGCTTTTCATACACTTTAGGGTGTAAGTGTCACACTTATGTGACATTACCATGAAGACAAACATAATTACAGCAAGTCATCTCACACAGATAGGAGTCACGTTGTGTGTGCTGTAATGCCCCCTAGTGGTTCAAAAGGGACGTTCTTCTCAAAACGCACAATATATTTAAATGTGAAAATTCAGCATCAACAAAGTCATCCACATTGCACATCAACAATTAACTGTAAAATGGTAACACTTGGCTCTTGCATCAGCTTTTCAAAATCTCCCAATTGTAAACGTATTGATGGGTTTCCACTATGCAGTTGTTGGCTGGATTGGATGAAGATCATTTCCTGTGGATGAGTAGATCCACTGTGGACAAGAAACAGTCTGCTTGTGTAAACTGCAAATATATTGCTTCTGTACATCTATAATTACAAACTATACTTTGTAAAAAGGGTAACACAATGCCGAAGATGTTTAAAATGAAGCAGATTACTTTGAAATATAAAAAAATGAATGACCGTTATGAAAGTTTTACTTTTGTCCTGCAGATTACGATGATGGATTTTCCATGAAGCACACTGCTGCTGCACGCTTCCAGAGGAATCACCGCCTAATCAGTGAGATCCTGAGTGAGAGCGTAGTGCCAGATGTGAGGTCTGTGGTCACAACTGCCAGAATGCAGGTTCTTAAGAGACAAGTCCAGTCCCTCATGGTGCATCAGGTGAGAACTGTCATGTCTCTGAACCCCGTGTAATGCAGGGTGTTGGGGAAATGGTTCTCAGGAAAGCACAAATAATGCATGTTGTCTGTTGGGTGCTGCTTTACATAATATTTAGGAAGCCACCAATTTCCATGCTGGACTTCTGAGTCATGAAAACCAGAAATTGGATCACTTACAAATATTCTGAGGTTGGTAGAATGTGTAAACGTTGTTGTATCCTTCAAGACTGGAAATAACATTGAGCTTTATATTACAGCTGATCTCCACCTTTTAGTGACGTTTATATGGATCATTAGGAGAAGCTGGTGTACTTCACTTATAAGACACGCAGCAACTCTGAGCTCTATGGGCTGCAATGGGATGTGACCTTCCAGTCCCACACCCAGGAACAAAATTGAGTCCGGATGAGCACTACTCAGCCATTCACAGGGAGCTTTGTATTCTGGCAGATGACATCATAATCTCCAGCTCACGGAATACAAAGCTCCCTGTGAATGGCTGAGCAGCAGTCAGCCTGACTCAATTTTGTTCCAAGTGTGGGACAGGAAGTCCATACAGTGCTGAGAGCTGCTGCATCTATTAGCAAAATAGTTTGTTTTTACCAGCTGGTCTTCATGAACTTCATTACAAAACCAGAGATAAGCTTTTAAAGCAATACACAAGGTTTTTTTTTTTTTTTTCTCTCTAATGAAATAACATGTCATACTTGTCTGTTCTGTGCAATGGTTATGCAGAGAGCAGTCTCAATCCTCCTCCTTCCTGGGTCCCCTGTCGGCACTCCTGGCCTCTCCCTCCTGCCTAGAGCCCCCATAGTAAGCAGCTTGCTATGGGGGCACCTGAGCAGACTCCCTCCAGAACTGCTGCTTTGTACATTCACATACTGAGCGCAGTTCGACCCTGCCCTTGCTCACTGGTTGTGATTGATAGTAGTGGGAGACTGAAGGCTCTTGTGCACATTGCTGGATTAAAATGGGGCTAAGGTAAGTTTAAGGGTGGTTGGGGTGTGCTGATGCACAATAGGTTTTTTTACCAAGGTTCTAAATTAAAGGTTGTCAATCATTTTAAAGTGAAATTTCACCCTAAAGACAAAGTTCAGCTCCATGCTCTCCTCTTTTGTTTTTGGCACACTTTCTTGGGGGGGGTTAACAGGTGCCCACTCCCAATTGTGGTCGGATCGCTGTAGCGATCCACCTAAAGTGTGAAAGTTCACAATTAACCACTTGCCTACCAGGCACTTATACCCCCTTATTTACCAGGCCAATTTTCAGCTTTCAGCGCTGCCGCACTTTGACAATTGCGCGGTCATGCAACATTGTACCCATATGAAATTTTGATCATTTTTTTCTCACAAATAGAGCTTTCTTTTGGTGGTATTTAATCGCCGCTGGGCACTTTACTTTTTGCGCTATAAATAAAAAAAGTGCAAAAAATTTGAAAAAAAAAAGTTTCTTTGTTTCTATTATAAAATTTTTCAAACAGGTAATTTTTCTCCTTCACTGATGTGCGTTGATGAGGCACTGATGGGCACTGATGGGCACTGATGGGCACTGATAGCACTGATGGGCACTGATAGGCGGCACTGATGGGCACTGATAGGCGGCACTGATGGGCACTGATAGGCGGCACTGATGGGCACTGATAGGCGGCACTGATGGGCACTGATAGGCGGCACTGATGGGCACTGATAGGCGGCACTGATGGGCACTGATAGGCGGCACTGATGGGCACTGATAGGCGGCACTGATGGGCACTGATGGGCAGGCGGCACTGATGGGCACTGATAGGCGGCACTGATGGGCACTGATGCAGGCGGCTACTGATGGGCACTGATAGGCGCACTGATGGGCACTGATAGGCGGCACTGATGGGCACTGATAATATGGCACTGATGGGCACTGCAGCATGGGCACTACTATAGGCAGCACTGATGGGCACTACTAATATGCGGCACTGATGGGCACTACTAATATGCAGCACTGATGGGCACTGATAGCAGCACTGATGGGCACTGATATGCAGCACTGATGGGCACTACACTGATGGGCACTACTAATATGCAGCACTGATGGGCACTACTAATGATGGGCGGCACTGATGGGCGGCAATGATGGGCTACTAATATGCAGCACTGATGGGCAACTACTAATATGGCACTGATGGGCGGCACTGATGGGCAGCACTGATGGGATGGCACTGATATGCGGCACTGATGGGCACTACTGATATGCGCACTGATGGGCATGGCACTGATGGGCGGCACTGATGGGCGGCAATGATGGGCACTGATGGCACTGATGGGCACACTGATGGGCGGCACTGATGGGCACTACTGATGGGCACTGATGCACACTGATGGGCGGCTACTACTGATGGGCGGCACTGATGGGCACACTGATGGGCGGCACTGATGGGCACTGATGGGCACTGATAATATGGGCGGCACTGATGGGCACTACTAATATGCAGCACTGATGGGCACACTGATGATGGGCACTACTAATATGCGGCACTGATGGGCGGCACTGCAGCATGGGCGGCACTGATGGGCACTACTAATATGCAGCACTGATGGGCGGCACTGATGGCGGGGCACTGATGGGCGGGCACTACACACTGATGGGCACTACTAATATGCACTGATGGGCGGCTAATATGCAGCATGGGCGGCAGCACACTGACTGATGGGCGGCTACTGATATGGCACTGATGGCACTGATGGGCGGCACTGATGGGCACTACTATGGCACTGATGGGCACTGATGGGCGGCACTGATGGGCGGGGCACTGATGGCGGCACTGATGGGCGGCACTAATATGATGGGCGGCACTGATGGGCGGGGCACTGATGGGCGGGGCACTGATGGCAGCACTGGGGCACTGAGCACTGATGGGCACTGATGGGCACTGATGGGCACTGATAGGCGGCACTAATATGATGGGCACTACTAGGCGGGGCACTGATGCAGGCACTGATAGGCGGCACTACTAATATGCAGCACTGATGGGCAGCACTGATGGGCACTACTAATATGCAGCACTGATGGGCACTACTAATATGCAGCACTGATGGGCACTACTAATATGCAGCACTGATGGGCACTACTAATATGCAGCACTGATGGGCACTACTAATATGCAGCACTGATGGGCACTACTAATATGCTAACTACTAATGCAGCACTGATGGGCACTACTAATATGCAGCACTGATGGGCGATACTGATAGCACACTGATGGGCACTGGCACTGCACTGACTGGCTGGCACTGACTGGCACTGGCACTGACTGGGGCTGGCACTGACTGGATAGGCGGCACTGACTGGCATGGCACTGACTGGCTGCACTGACTGGCTGCACTGACTGGGCACTGCTGGGCACAGGTGGGTGCACTATTGGGCACAGGTGGGCGGAGGGAGCTAGTGGGCGCACTGCTGGGCACAGGTGGGCGGAACTTGCGGGTGGGCACTTCTGGGCACCGATCATCAGGGCACTGATCATCAGTGCCCTGATGATCGGTGCCGATCCTCGCTCTGACAACTGCCGGTTCTCGGCAGTACTTTCCTCACGATCTGACAGCGTGAGGAAAGTGCAGCCGAGAACCGGCACTCGCATTTCCCTGTGATCAGCGTGTCATTGGACACCGCTGATCACGTGGTAAAAGGCCGCTGTGATTGGCCTTTTACCACATCACATGATCAGCTGTGTCCGTAGGATACAGCGATCACGGAGATCGCCGGGTGCGTGCCGTCATTCGGCTATCTGCGGTCGGCAACTAGTTAACGACCCCCCCCAAACCTTCTGGGACACATGCCAGGTCCCAGAAGGCTGTAGGACCATTCACAAAGCACAGTGCAGCTCACACATGCACAGTGAGCAGCCAGCTGTAAGCCACCAGGACTCGCAGCTGACTAACAGCATAAGGTATAACATACAACAGAAAAAAGGCACATCTGTAATATTCATTCTAATAAGGTACAATTATGTAGAACATAAAAATTAAGTACGTGAACAAGGTAGGCAGAAAGGTAGGCAGAGTAATAAAGCCACCAACAGAAAGACATCATGAATATTCATTGGTCAGACAGTAAATGTCTGAGTTTTCCAAACATCCCATTTTTTGTCAAATAAGTGCATCCTATCCAGTAACATATAGTGAATACGTTCCATGAGCATCACCGCATCGCTTCTTCATATAACTGAGGCCAATGGTACCGTGGGTGACCTCCAATGAAGGGCATAGCCCATAGGGCTGAGACACAGATGGTGTGAATCAGCCTCAAAGCTTCAGTCTGTATTCCCGAGATATGGGCTCCCAGTAGGCAAGTCTGCATAGACAACTGCAGTGGGGCATTAGCCACAGCAGAGATCTTATGCCATATCAATGAAAGGCCTGGACAGGCCCAAAATGTATGTAGAAGGGTACCAGCTAGGCCACAACCTCGAAAGCAAAGGTGGGACGTCTCTGGGAACATGATGTGTAGTCTAGAGGGGGTATAATACCAACGGGTTTAATACTTTAAGGACCATCTCACAGACAGAGCTCTGAAGCTCCTATGTATGTTATCCACCATGGAGTCCCAGTCCTCTACAGAGAAGGTGACATAGCTGCTGACTTTTAAAGGCTGAATTGCTTTTAAGAATATTTTTATTGGCTCATATGCCTGGCAACCTAAACAAAAAATATTTACTGTAAAAAAAACTTCTATGAATTGCTTTTCTCATCAGTGCAACAAATGGACAGGAAAAGGATAAAAGAAAACTTTACCACCAAAACCATATAGAGCTCTGTATGTAAACATCACAGATCTTTCTCCTGTCAGCATGAACAGGCAACTTTGTATTGCTCCGCAGAACAATATAAAGCAGCTTGTCTACCTAGTAAAACACACACCGCACACTGTTAACCCTTTGATCTGCCCAGTGCTGTTAGTACAGTGATGGTGCTTTTTATTAGCACTGATCACTGTATTAGTGTCACTGACAGTCAGTTCCCCCCCAGTGTCAGAATGCCCTCCGCAGTCCCGCTATAAGTCGCTGATCGCCATTACTAGTATTTAAAAAAAAAAAAAAAAAATTATTATATATGCCGCCATTTGTAAACGCTATAACTTTCACGTAAACCAATTCACACGTATTGGGAATTTTTTTTTTAGTAAAGACATGTTGCAGAATACATTTTGGTGATATGTTCAATACTTATTTCAACCTCTGTATGTCTGTAAAGCTTTTAATTATCAAGTCCTATGGGGACCTGGTAGATCACGTCAGGCATCCCCTGAAAAGGTGTGTTTCTTGGCAGTCCCCTAAATGAGTGTAGGTGCATGAAGCTTAATTTGAAGACTTCCATTTTTATTAGTTATGAAAGTTAAACTGCTTGTAGTTGTTCTAGTCCTAGAGTGACGATGAACCAGCAAACACAAATGCTCCTGCGCTTGGGGATGGACTCGCTGCAGGCTACAACCACATTAAGAATGTCCTGGAACATGCACACCTTGCTGCCCTCAAAGAGACTGGGGGGATCCAAATATACTGAATGAGGAAAGAACAAACCGAAGGCGCACAGTCCTAGTGCATTACCATAGAAAATAAAGTATGTGTTGTACTCACAAATGACAATATAGTCAAGGCACATCATAAAGAACAGCTGGGTCAACACTGCGCTGAGGAAGAGGCAAGTCCTCGAAACGTGTCAGCCTTTTGGATGTCTACACTCCCTATTGCGGACTGTTACTCAGCGCGGTGTTGACCCAGCTGTTCTTTATGATGTGCCTTGACTATATTGTTATTTGTGAGTACAACACATACTTTATTTTTTATGGTAATGCACTAGGCCTGTGCGCCGTCTGTTTGTTCTTTCCTAGAGTGATGATGGTTCTATCACTCTGCAGCGATGTCTCGTCTGGAAATGGGATCATGACTGAGCTTGCTGAGATTGGGTAGAAAACTTGCCTCACCCAGATCCTGAGGTGTGGTTAAGGGTGTGCTCTAAATCCTAAAGCTCCACGTAATGGGGACACACAGCTGCTAACAGCATGCTGAAGTCATCTAGTCTTTATTAAACGCTTTCAATTCCCTATTTGAGGAGGCTTTGACGGGCGCAAAATTGTTTAGAAAATAGTCCTAATAAAAGTTCTGGTGCTCAGACATGTATAGCACAAAACTCCCGAGTCTGGATTAAAAATATTCCTGTCAAATAACACCACATGCAATGTAATGTATGTCCATGTAGAGATACGTTCAGGCCTTCCAGTTTAATTCTGTGAGCCCAGAATATTTCTGACAGGTTATTAATGCGTCTACTGACACCAATGCTGGGGGTTATTCATGTTTCCACTGACATCCATGCTAGGGGTAATTCTTATGTTCGGGAAGGGGTGGGGGTGCAATTTGGCATTGAATGGACCGCATCATTTACAGGGTTTGGGGTGTGCACTTTGACCGCACGCTGCTGGTCTGAAACTAGCCTGCCAGCACCCTGCAGGGCACTGTGACAGGCTAGACAGGAGAGAGCCTGATGCTCTATAGCCTGTTCAGTGTCTTCTGCTCTGTCCTGCTGTCACTCAACAGAGGCAGGACAGAGCGCTTTGGCAGACTACGGGGTGAGGAGCTGTGCCAATACGCTATCCTATTCAATGCCCTGAAGTAGGGCAGAAATATAAGGGGGAAAAAATTATTAGGGGAGGATGTGACGACATGTTTTACCGCACCAGGTGACACCGCTAGTGACACCAATGGTTCCCATGTGGGCTGCTATTCCAAAAATAGTGTAGGGACTTCTTTCATGAGGTGTGGCAGCCCCATTGCCCATTCAATAGAATGCCCATGCAAAGCTGCACATAATGTCCAGTTTTATTATTACACAGGATTCCTATAGCACCCCCACACTTTGTCCTGCACTACACATAAAGGGAGCCACTACAGTTTACAAGAGGATTGGATGTCCCTGCTCATGAGAACTTGCAATCTAAAGGGAAGGGAGGTGAAATAACAGGTAATAACTAGGGATGAGCTGTTCAAAATGGAAAGATTAGGTTACTAATTTGAGGTGAGAGTGGCTTTCCTGAAGAGGAGTTTTTCAGGGCTCTCCTAAGGCAGACAGAGTAGGAGATCCTAGCGCACTTAACCCTCTCCTGTGTTTTCCCCCAGCGTAAACTGGAAGCAGAGCTATTACAGATTGAAGACCGTCATCAGGAGAAAAAAAGGAAATTCTTGGAAAGTACTGAAGCTTTCAACAACGAGCTTAAACGGGTAATTCATGTTTGACATACAGAATCTGCCATCAAGAGTAAAGGAAACTAATTCTGTGCTCGTGTATCTGTGTGTGTGGTTGCGCTTTGTATCTGTGTGTGTGTGTGTGTGTGTGTGTGTGTGTGTGCTCGCGCTTTGTGTGTGCGTGTGTGCTCGCGCTTTGTATCTGTGATGTACTGATGAGTTTGTTTTAAAAGTGGCATTCTAGCTTACGCTTTAATTGGCCTTAAAACTGCCCCCCCCCCCGCTATAACGCATACTAACCCATGTGAGATGCATATCTTGCCTATATTCAGGCCACTCCAGTCTGGTCATCTTATCCCACCCTCCTGTGTCAGACATCGCAGCTGCAGGGGAGAGGAGGGAACGCTTACAATGGGTGCTCTATTGAAGCCTACTGGGGGCGCCACTGCTCCAGGCTTTACTAGCTGTTGCCAGAGCGCATGCTCCTCTCCCCTGCAGCTGCCTCCATTTGATACGGGAGATCACCTAAGTGGAGCAGACTGATAATAGGTAAGTATTACACAGAGCTAGTTGGGGTGGAAGGCTTGTAATGTGTACAATGGCAGCTGATTTTTCATCTTTTAGTTTAATAAGGACTTCAAGTCTCTCCATATCCAATCTTGCTGCGCTCTGCAGGGCAGTCTCCATATATTTCTATGGACACCCACTAACAGTACTATTGTCCCCTTGGTCCCCTACTGGTTTCTGCATATTGTGATCACAGCCTAGAGAGAAGGGGAGGAGGTTCAGCTTGCACTTTTATACAGGAGAAAACCCAGGTCTGTTTTTTGCATTCAGTGTCCTCGAAGCGCCTTCCTTTCTGTTCTATAGTCTAATATGAAGTGGTGGGAAACTTCCCAAACCAGGACACGGCATTCAAATAACCTCTTCACACCGAGCGCACACAAATGTATGGCCTCTCGGTGTCTGGGCCTTGACGCCGGGCAGCCGCACATTTGCGTGCAATTAAAAAAACCATATGTGCTGAGAGCGGCCCTGCACGCTCCCAGCACACGTCTGGTACTCGCAGAAAGGTCCCGATCTCCTCTTGTGATCGGGACCTTTCCCGATCATGTGACCGCTGTGACAGTGAATCATGGCGGTCACATGACCTTAAAACTCTGCCCTGCCTCCCAGCTTCTGAAACCCTTAAAGGGCCAGGAGGCACCAAGGGGTTAAGTATCTGTTCGGTTTTCATGGCTGCCTGGGTGCAGTTTTGGGGAGGTTACTTATTGCTTCAACAATACCAGATCATTAAAACAGAACTCCACCCAAAAGGGAAATTCTGCTTTAGGCCGTCCTCCCCCCACTCTCCTGTACCTGTCAAAACTAGCCTAGGTGATCTCACCCTCCCCACAGGGACACATCTCAGGTCCCAGAAGACTGTGGGACCATTCACAAAGCGCAGTTGGCTGTGAAGCTGAAAGCAGCATAGCTGGGTGCCCACAGTTAGGATGCTGGGAACCGGAAGGCTTGTGAGGACAACGTTGGATCCTTGGGCAGGGAAGTGTCTTTTTTATTAAGTCAGCAGCTACAGGATTTGTTAATTTTATTATTTTTTTTTTTCCCCCACAATGAACCTCCTCTAATACCTTCCAAAAGTTCTAACCCGTTCTGTTCTGTCCAAAAAAGTTTAGCAGGCATTGGGCTTAAATCCAGTTACATTCACATCTATTTAGAAAAGAATGCACATTTCATTTTTGCACTAGACACCGATGAGCCATAACATTATGACCACCCAGCTAATATTGAGTAGGTCCTCTTTTTGTCAAAACAGCCCTGACCCATCGAGGCTCGGACTCCACTAGACCTGTGAAGGTATTCTGTGCTATCTGGCACCAAGCTGTAAATGGCAGATCACTATTAGATGCACACACACCCAGCCATCCACAGTGTAAAAGAAACCGTGATCAGATTAAGCCACCCCTTCCATTGCTCTGTGGTCCAGTTCTGATGCTCTTGTACCTGTTGCAAGTGCTTTTGGCTGTGGACACGGGTCAGCATGGGCCCCCTGACTGGTTTGCGGCTACATGGCCCCATACACAAGACATTGCCATGCACTGTGTGGTAACCAGCATGAACTTTGTCAGCAATTTGAGCTTCAGTAGCTCTTCTATTGGATTACACTACATGGGCCAGTGTTCAGTCCTCACATGCATCAGTGAGCCTTGTCTGCCCATGACCTTGTCACTGGTTGGCCAGTTTTCCTTCCATGGACTTGGTTGGTCCTGACCACTGCAGACTGGGAACGGGAGATTTGGCGTTGCTCTGACCCAGTTGTCTAGCCATTATTATTTTGCCCTTGTCAAAGTCTCTTAAATCTTCAAGTATTTTTTTTTTTGCACACTCAAACTTCAGGGAGAACATGTTTACTTCCTGCCCACTTTCAGGTGCCATTGTAATGATCAGTGTTGTACACTGATTAGCCATAACATTATGACAGCTGTCAGTTAAAATGAACAAGGCATATTACTTGTAGGTAAAAGTCAGTATAGACTGTCTTTATATTGTATTGTTTCTGTGCTCCTGTAATTAAATGTTGTATGTTCTTGCATGATTCCTAGAAGTATGATTTATTGTTTCTTATCCAGTTATGCAGTCTAAAGGTGGAGGTGGACATGGACAAGATTGCTGCAGAAATAGCCCAGGCTGAGGAGCAGGCCCGCAAGCGGCAGGAGGAACGTGAGAAGGAAGCAGCAGAGCAAGCTGAGCGCAACCAAATTGCAGCCGCTGCAGCAGCAGCTGCTGCTGCCGCCACGGCAGCCGAAGAGGAGCAAGAAACGCCAAAGTCTGAAGAGAAGACCGAAGAGGAAGAAACTCCCATGGAGACGGGTAAGTCCCTATAGAAGAGAAAAATTCCCAGCTCAACTTGCCAACCAGCTTGAAACCAACTGAATTAGCTTGTCTGATAGTATGTGTTAAAAAACGGGTTTAGTTTGCACACATTTGCAAAACCATGCATGCTCTGCAGAGCCCCATAGTAGAGGCACATGTATTTAATGGATAGACTGCGGGCATGTGAACCTGAGGGAGCCCACCCCTCCTTAAAGGCACACGAGCGCACTGGACACCCAGCATATAGACAATGGCAGCCAAGGTGCCCAGTGAGCCCTCTCACCAACAATACAAGAAATGGCCACTGCCCCAGTCTGTAACTGGCCTTCACAGCAAGGAGCACATGTGCCTTTAAGGAGGGGTGGGCTTCCTCAGGTTCACCTGCCTTCAGTCTATCCATGAAATACATGTGCTTCTACTATGGGGGCTCTCAAAATATGGAGTTAGGAACTGCAGAATATCGGGGTGCCGTGAAGAAGCTCTGCAGCTTACGCACAAATCTGTGCAAACTAAACCCGTGTTTAATGCATACTGTTAGGCTAGTTTGGTTTGTTTGCAAGCTGATTGGTAATTTGAGCTGGAACTTTTATTGTTGAAGGCCAGTTATAGACTGGGGCGTCCCAGTATACACATGGTGCTGATGCCTGTTGGTGTGAAAAAGATGACAAGCTGGGTTTTTCTGAACATCTCTGAATGGAGTGGTGGTTGGCTGAGTTTTGGCAGTGTCAGCTGTCTGGCTGTACAGACATACCATGGACCTCTGTGGACAGTGAATGAATGTGTCAAACAGTTGCTTTGGCTTACTTCTTGAGTGCACAAGCAAGATTAACCCCTTCATGCTGGATATATGCATTTATGTGCCACTAAAGCAGTTGGCTTTAATGCCAACATATAGAGAGAGCTGGTGTCCCTTCTCAATGCTGGGAACACATTCTCTCAGAGCCCCCAGGTCAGTGAATGCATTGTCACAGCTGTCAGTCACCGTTTATGATTGGGACCTGGGCAAGTGCTCCTGAACACTGACAGTCAACCACATGGCTGGGAAGTCTGTCTCCACCTCCCAGCATTAAAGTGTTTCCAAAGGCTGAAGGGGTTTTTTTTTTACCTCCTATTTCCCCCCCAGCTCTCCTAATACTTACCTGAGCCCAATCTTGAGCCATCAATGTGCACAAGAGCAGCTGCCCTCCTGGCTCTCTCCCTCCTCTGTGGCTCAAACATAGCAGCAGGAGCCATTGGCTCCCGCTGCTGTCAATCACAGCCAATGAGAAGGGATCAGGGCTGACCCCATTTTGTGTGTGAATGGACACATGGAGCAGGCACACATGAATGCCCCCATAGCAAGCAGCTTGCTGGGGGGGGGGAGGCAGGAGCACCGGCAGGGGATCCTAGAAGAAGATGATCAGGGCTACTCTGTGCAAAACCATTACACAGAGCAGGCAAGTATATCATGTTTGTTATTTAAAAAAAAAAAAAAAAAAAACTTCCTTTTAGTATGACTTTAAGCTACTGATTAATGTTGTATCACAAGAAAGCCTTGTGTTACAATGAAAGCAGCACTGCTGTAGGTTAAAATGGTCTCAGATTAATGATTTCATAACCCGGGGCACAGACTTTAAGTGAGTTCTAATGTTCCCTCTGACATAATCTTTGCTGCAAGCAATGAAAGCTGTGCCGGGTAGTACTGTAGCTGGTGTAACCGAAAGCCTTCTTGCACAGAATTTTCCACTCCGTCAGTAAATATTCTAATTTGGCTGTTTATTTTAAAATGCCTAATAGTCTACCGCCCTGTGTGCTCTCTTATGAGGCCGCACCAATCTCATTTAGATAATTATTGTAACTAATTATTGTCTGAATATATACTTTGTTTTTAGTTGCCAAACATTTATATAAATTCAGTATTTAAAGGATAAATTCCCCTTTTGATTAAAATAAATAAATGCGTGTACTTGTGTGCGGGGTGTGTAGATAGGGGAGATGTACTAAAAATGGAGCACTCAGAATCTGGTGCAGCTGTGCATGGTAACCAATCAGCTTCTAACCTCACCTTGTTCAATTAAGCTGTGGCAATAAAACCTGGAAGCTGACTGGCTTCTATGCAGAGGTGAACCTGATTCTGTCTGCTCCTGTGGTGTGTTAAGCTTGGCTTTCTTGAAATCTGCCCCCCACTATCTGACACAAGTGTGCCCAATAACGAAATGTGATGTGTGCACTTCCAGGTGTTTAATGGATATCTAGTCTCACCCCCCCTCCCTTACCCCTACATCACTGAAAACACAGTACTGACATGGGGGTTGTTAATGTACATATTCTGGAGATGGGAAAGTGGGTGTTGATGTGAAATCTGCCCACAAACTCTGGATAGTGGGAAGTGACCTGAATGTTGTGGGCTGGATACTGAAAGATCAATGTGTATGTTTGGGCAGCATGATAATTGGTGCAACCTGCTCAGTTCAGGGATAATAGGGCTGTATGTGACCCAAAAATGCTTCTTGGATATGGATATAATTTTCATTTCCCATTTCCAGAGGACACCCCATCTTTGCCCCCTGCAGAAGAAACCAGTGAGAGCCAGCAGAATGGAGAGGAGGGGACATCAACTCCAGAGGACAAGGAAAGCGGACAGGAGGCTGTGGACAGTACGCTGGATGAAGGAACTAGTGACAGTAACACAGGATCTGAGAGCAACAGTGGAACTGTGGAAGAGACACCAGTAGACCACCAGCCCACGGAGGAGGGAGAGCGGAAGGAATGAGAGAATCCTTCCACAGTTTACCAGTTCTGCTTTTTAATATGTGACCCAAACCTTGGTTAGGCAGGATTCCTCAAGTCATTCCTAAACTATAAAAAAAAGTGCTGCAGAAAAAGGCTGGATTGGATAAGACCTGTCCCAGTCTCTTCACTGGTTTTATGGGTTCAATGGCCATGGAACTGGCATAACTGCAATGTACAAGGGGAGGATCACTAACGATTGATCTGAATAACTTAGTTGGACCCATCCAAAGCCAGCGCTACAACCGCATCCGTGACAGATCAGGAACGATAACTAGATTTAGGTTTTTGGTTGTAGGGAGATGCAATTGCCTCTAAATGAGAATCCACTGAACTGCAGGTACTTGTCTAGCCGTTTTCTTTTTATGTTTGTGTCTGCCCCTATTGTGTTTTAGGGATGAAACTGACAGCCATGTGAGGTTTTACCTGGAGGTCTGTGGCTGAGCTGTAGACGTACAAGACACCAGCACTAGATCTGTTTTGGAGTCACACTCATTGTAACTTCTCAGACAAAAGCTTATGTTGCATTTTACAGGGAAATTGTCATGAGGGAAAAATGTTATCTAACATTCTGGGAAGGCTTTTTTTTTGGCCATCTTTGCATTTACTGGTCTGTGAGAAGTATCCAGCAAGAAGTGACAAAGAGAAGTCAGTACTACTTACTACTGTGCATACTTGCTTTGGGGTCAGTCAAAGTTCCAAAGCCAAGACAGCCAGTCAGCATGATAGCCTACATGTTTCTGTCATGACAGGTGTCCTTTAAAGTCCCCTCTGTCCAGTGTAGCTGAATACACAATTCTTAATGCTGTCTTTGTGATGACCATGTACAAGGTTGTATTTTATTTTTATTTTTTTAATACCTGAAGATTGAATAAAGATGGAAACGTCTTTCACGTGTTGAATTCTCATTTGTAACTGATGTTAGCCTGGGTTCACACATATGCGGTGCAGTATATCACATGCGATTTGTGTGCGGTGTGATTGGAGCTATACATTTTGTATGGTTCTATTCGCACCACACACAAAATGTGCAGAATCCCAGGGTTTGCACTAGAATTGGATTGCATGGGTATTCACACCTATGCAATCTGATTCTGCGCACCGCGTTTTGCGGACTGCTTTCTGGGTGTTAACATACACACCCGCAGCGGTTTGCATGAACTGGGTGCGATTCTAATGCGGTGCAGAATTTGCACATAAATCGCTGCGAATTCTGCACTGCATCAGTGTGAACCCGGGCTCACACCCTTTTTAATAGACTCTGCCACTGTACGTTATTGGTCCATCAGGTGGATACAAACAATATATAAGAGATATGGCCATACCACAGCCTAAAGAAGACTTCCAGGTATGGATATTTTATATATAGGTGCATTGGTGCAGCTTGGACCTGTCTAACTATGCCTATACCAGACCTGGCTGTACCTGCTTGACACCACTACTCCAGCAATCTCCACTTGTTTCTGGGTCCCACACTGAACAGCTGCCCTGCTAAATTGTGAACACAGGAGGTCAGCCACTTTGCATTAATTCACAAAATGCAATATCATTTCTGAGTGATGCCTGTGCCAAGTGCTCTCTGGTTGGACAGGTAGAGATCATGAAATCACTGCTCTGCTTCTTCCAATTAGAGGATGCTCTGCACTCATTTAGAAAGTAAAATTCCTGTATTCAGAATGCTGCAGTGCAAGCCCCTCTGTGCAGAGCCCCCACAAGCAAGTTGGGGACCTCTGGAGGAGCAGTACCTACTTCAGTGATTTTCAGCTTCCACGCATAGTTACATGGTCCAAGCTGGGCATAAAATTATCCATACTAATTCTTTTGGGGGGGCGCACTGCCCCCTTGTAATCAAGGTTCTGTACACGTACGGGGGTTGGCAATGCTAGAGCCTTTGTTTTCTACCTGTGATACTGATTCAAGTTGTAATGCTGTGCAGGCCCAGTGCACACATTTTGTTTATAGTGTAGTGGATTGTGATTGACAGTCCACGTTTTATTAGATGATCAGTAAAATGACAATTTTATAGTCTTGCTACTGTCTGTATCTTGCTCTTTAAATTCCTTACTCTCTTAAGTAAACAATCAGATATAGGTTGACAGAACAATGATGATAATTAAGATGGCGCCTTCAGAACATTTATTAGATTTTTCAAAAAGGTGGACTATGCCTAAAGTAAAGGGAACTCTGTGGGCCACCTCAGCCTTCATTTTATGAATAGGATGTAAATATCGGGGAGCAGTGCCTAGGTGGTGTTGGTATCCACCCCCTGATATGAGTGGATGGAAGGTACTAGACTGCATATTGATTTCTTTACTCTTATTAAAGTACAAAGCCCAAGGCAATGCTCCCTGAGAAATGAATGCAAGGGACCTATCCAAAAATATACAGGAGTTGTTGATAAATTGCACAAGTAGACATTTCAAGATCAATAAAACCAATGCTGCTTTAGGCCAGGCTCACACTGTTGCACCGTGGGTGTACCTGCGCTCCCATAGACTCCTATTGGATGTGCATTTTTGTAGCTCTTTCTGAAAGCACACCCAAAGGTCCAGCATGATGCATCTTTCAGAGAGTTACAAATGCGTATTCTAATAGTCTATGGGGTCACGGGTAAAATACAGGAGAGCTGTGGGTATATCTGCACTGTGGCCGACCTGAAAATATACAATGTACAGGCTAGGTTACATTTACAAATGAGGGAGCTGAGAAACTGTCATATTCAAGCAAGAAACAAACACCTTGTAACCCTATTATTATACAGTATTTATAAAGCACCAACAGTTCGCTCAGCGCTGTACAATGTGATTTTATGTTGACTACACACCATTAAAAGGGCAACAAGTCTAACAGCAGCAGGGTGTCTTAATTAAACTATTAGTCCTAAAATCCACCATGTACTGGAAATGCACAAAGGCAGACATGTTTGAAGTCCAGCCTGTGTGACAGTCATGGCTACCCATCCCCCCCAATAGGTACAGTGAAGAAAAAGGTGTAGACAATGTAATCTGGTATTCCTGGGAATAACACTTCCTAAGAGAAACACTGAAGAAAAGTAATGCAGACACCCATTCTAAGGCATGACAAGCTACGGTATATTACATTTTTAGGTTTAGATATGCTTTAAGGGGACAAAGGCACTCTCAAGCAGAGTGCACCTATCAAGTTTAAAACTCCACTTTGCTGCTGAGCTAATGTAACCCATCCTCCCCATCTAGAAATAGAATCCTGCCTGTGGCCTCTGGCATTTGTTTCCAACCTGGCCTGCTGTTCAGTGCGCAGGCCCCACCTATGTAGCAGCTTCACTTCGAATACTAGGGGGCATCTTGCAATGCAGGAAATGTTTAGGCCCCAGAGAACCCTATGGATGCTACTAAACTGTCATCATCTTCAGTCTAAAAACAAAGTTTCTGTTGTATACACTTACAAATACATGTAAAGCCACATTTCCACAGCAAGGCTCCTCTGCAAAGCGTGCTGCCTAACTGAAAACAACCTGAAGATTTCCAACTATGGGATAAATTATATATGTGTGGTCCCTAATAAATATATATCTAAGGGGGAGAAAGCTTACCTTGAATCCCTTCCACCTCAAAGGTACAGCAAACCCAACATCTCTGAAGACCCCGTGTGTCAGTAGCAAACACAACAATGACACGCTCCAGACTTTTTTTTTTTTTTCTGTCAATTTTTTTAATTAAAATTTTAACACAATAGGATATAGAAAATACAAAAAAGGAACACAAAATCTTCAACTTATTTCATACTCAATTTATATATAATCTATCTCTATCCTGTTCCTGCCAGCTGTACACATATATGCTGCTGCTTGGCAGGTGGGCTTTAACACCAACAGGCTGCATACATTTGTCCCTATGTAAACATTTTCTGTGCTGAGGACACGTGCCCTGCGTGCTTCCGGCATGATTACTGGAGGGGACCGGAAAGCTCCCGATGTACACTTGCAACCGAGAGTTTTCTAATCATGTGACTGCTGTGATAGCCAATCACAGTGGTCATAGGATCAGAATGCCCACCTCCTGGCATTTAGAACCTCTTAAAGGGCGGGGGGTACCAAGGAATGGGTTCATAACTCCTTTTACCAATAACATAAATGATTTATGATGGGGGAGGGAAGAGTACCTGGGAGCATGAAGTGTGCACAAACTCACCCTACAGGAGTGATAGTCTGCGAGGAAGCGGCATACACGTCATTTGTAGGCTTATAGTGACCATACACACATCAGTTTTACTATCTGATCAATGTGTGATTAGGTAAAAATGTTCAAATCTGCAAACAACCAGTCAGAATTTCCCTTCCGATCGATCTGGACTCGATTTAGATCAAATTTGATTAAAATGAGTTGATCGGCCAGGAAAGAATGTTATAGTTTTGCATTGATCTGCACAAATATACTTTGGTTATGAATACAATCAATAAATCAGAATATGCGATTACATGGTGGAAACAGAGATACGATCAATGACGTACAATCAAAAGTTATGATCATATCTTGACAATCAAAATCCAAGTACCTGTGAATGGCATATCATTTGCGTTAGTTGACTATAAATCATTTAGTCCTATTGCAAAAGACTTCAGAAAATAAACTAATCATTTATTAAAGCGCGTAAAGCTATCACTATGCTGATATAGCTGCCAATCAACTGCCAGGGATCAGTGACTGTAGCGGCATGAATGAAAGCACCCTTATTAACAAAGGTCTCAAAGAAAGCAGAAACTGGCTTTAAAAAGAAAAAAAAAAATTAAAGAGAAAAAAACAGTATTTATTAAATTAGAAAATTATTTTTAAAAAAATTAATTAGAAAAATATTGAAAAAAAAAAGGTATTCATTAAAGTAAAAAATGATTAAAGAAGAAACCGGGTATTAATTTAATTAGACAATGATTAAAGAAAGTGTTTTAATCTCTTTACACCGGTGCCTCCTGGCCCTTTAAGGGGTTTCAGATGCCGGGAGGTGGGG